CAGGGTGTCATATTTGGAAAATACTAAGTTTGGGCTATATCTCGAAAAAGGTTTGTTTAAAAAAAAATTGACTACGCCACTGGATTCTTCGTGAAAATATATATCTATAGCAGTTTTTACCTTTTTTCTATCCTACTGGGTGTCCAAAATATGATACCACCCCAAAAAGCGCAAAATTTCTATTCCACCCTGTATCTCGGGAACCAAGCATTTTGAAATTTGGAAAATTCTGCGTACTTGACGAAATATTCGGAAAAAATCGAAATTTTGCAATATCGTTTCATTTTTTTCTGAGTTTGTTTGAAGTTTGTTTTTGGTCGCCCATCATCCAGCTTTATTTTTCTAAATACGACCATAGATATTTTATATTGTTTTCTGTTGACTTTTGATATGTTTCAAGTAATAACCTTGAAAACTTTTGAAAAAATCATCAGATCCAAGATAAATTGACTTTGAAAAGTTTGCATAGACCTGTCTCTGTCTTACACATAAGTAGCGCCATAAATCCATCTTTATTCAACAAATTAAAGTGAGAATTTCATTCATCTGTCAAAACCAGGTTGGAACTGTTGTTCCAGCAATGAAATGACATGTTTTGATTGTTGACTTCAACCAATCAGATTGGAATTACGTGATGATTTGACTAGTGCAATTATCCGATAATTGCATAGTAACTGGTATCGAAACTGGTGTATTGACAAATTTTGACAAAAAATTTAGATTTTTGATTCGTGAAATTCTCTCATAAAATACAACTCGTGCAATGGAAATATATTTTATTTGCAATCATATATGTAATCTTGTCATTACTGACTTTTTAAAAATTTGGAAGTGACACTTTACCTGTGTCACTTCCCTCTTCGATTTCCCTCACCGATTTCCCTATTCGACTTCCCTCACCGATTTCCCTCACTCTAATTTATTTACCTTTGCTGGCAACAATGAGAACATGTCAGGTAAAAATGTCAAAGCAGTGAATGACACATTTTGGCATGTTTGTTTTATTTTTTTAATATCAAAAAAACTGATTGACTAAGCATAATTAACTGTGTGCTTGCAAATAAAATAGTATACAAACCTCGGAGGAAAGTTTTCATTCCTGTCTCGAGATTAATATTCAATCTCGACGCTTCGCGTCTCGATTGACTATATAAATCTCTCGACAGTAATCAAACACTTCCCTACTCGGTATGTAATAACCTACTATTTAATTTTTGAGAAATTTGTCCGAATGTATTTTTAGTTGAAAAAGAGCACGAGTGCACGTAGTTATCGATAATTTCCATTGCACTAGTTATACAGGGTGTCCCACAAGGTTTTTCCCAAATGATAATTTCGGAACGCATCATCGTATGTTCCACTGTATAATTTTTTGTCATATCCTTTAACAAAGCCTTAACAAATATGACATAGCCGATTTTGCAATTCAATTTTCTAACGAAAAATGCCATAATATACCATGAGTTACATTTAAAATTCGAAAGTTGACGTCACTTGGCCGACATTGGAGCAAAAATGGTGGAATTGAATGACAGTGGTAGAAGCGGCTCAAAAAGTTACCCAGATCCGCAAAATTTCAATTATATTGGATGACGCGTTCCGAAATTATCACCTGGGACAAACGTCGTGGGACACCCTGTATTACTATTGATAATTCCTAATAAAAAATAATAATTTGATACATTGCAGTGCTTGGATGACGCATAACAAAATAGAAAATTAACAAAAATAAAGTTGATGATGTTGGCAAAGAAAGAATTTTGGATTTTAAATTTGACAAAGTAATACGATGAAGTCGAAAATGAAGTGATATATTTTTTTCTTTGAAGATTGTGAAAAATGTATTATCGCTTTTTATGTTATGTGTAAGTCATGTGCATGGATACTGTTTAAACCAATATTTCTTGGATCTGATGAATGTTTTACAAGTTTGCATTAAAGCCAACAGAAAACACAACAAAAAAATCATGGTCGTTTTTAGAAAAATAAAGCTGATGATGGTAGACCAAAGAAGAAACGTCGGATATTAAATTTCACACTGCCATTTTATAGAGGGAAGAGAGTGGCAACGATAAAGTTTCATTTATTTTTGAATATCACTTCAAACAAGCTCAGGAAAAAATAAAATCGATTTTTCAAAATTTCGGTTTTTTCCGAATATTTCCGGAGGTACGTGCAATTTTCCAAATATCAGAACGCTATTTTGCTTGGCATTAAATTTGGCAACTTTGCCCCAATTTAACCAACCCTGTATCTTTTACCGTTTCCGATATCCCAATGATGTGGCTCGAATTTGAAACATCCTGTATGTACAATGTGTACATGGAAAAAAACACATTTCCAACTAGTACTCGCTGAATCAAACTTCTAGCATTAAGCGCTAGTGGGAAATGTGTTATTAATCACTCCTTGCTAGTTGCACAATATAATATTTCGCATTTATTAGGAAAATTTCTATCCAAGACGAAGATGTATTCACGTTAAAATATAAAATGGTAAGGGTCAAGCACCTTTTAGCACCTAGAGACTAGAGACCTATAGATGAGGCGCATTTTTACCAATACAAAACCCCGCATTTTTAAAGCATAAAACAATATGTCCTTACCGTTTTTCAAATTTATTATTCACTTCATTCACTTCACTATTTGTGCTTTTCCTTTGAACCAACACAACAACCTCAGCAGAAACAACAAATATTTTTCACCAAAAGCGCGTAAACAAACTACCCTGCCTGCCTGCATATATTTTCAGAAGCCGTCTAGCCAAAGATAAGCACGCGGCACGTGTCTAGTCTAGGAACTGATAATGTGACGAGTTGAATCTTGTTCATCTGTATATTTTTTGCAGAAGAAAAAGTATTTAAATACTTTCAAAAGTATTTAAATACTTTTGATAGTAGTTAAATACTTGAAAGTATTTAACTACTTTTGAAAGTATTTAAAATACTTTAAAGTATTTAAATACCAAATATTTCAAAAAGTATTTGGATTCATAAATACAAATACCAGTTTTAGAAAAGTATTTAAATACTAGGTATTTAAATACTTTTAAGTATTTAAATACTAAAAAGTATTTAGAATTGCAAATACTGCCCAGCTCTGCCAGTCCGTAATGAAGATTACTCGACTATCAACTTTGGGAATCACTCCTTTGAGGGAAAGGCGTCTGAGAGGAGATCTGATCGAGACAATCAAGATTATTCGAAATGGTTACACCTGTAACCTTGACATCTTTACCTCTTCAATGACAACACGCATCTGCGAGGTCATACTTTAAAGTTGTGCAAAGAAAAAACCGCCAAGCTTCGAAGAAGGAACTTCCTAGCAAATCGAATTGTCTACCCATGGAACAGCCTGTCAAATTCTACAGTCACCGCGCATAGTTTAATTTTTTTCAAGAATAAAGGTCGATACCGATATGAGTGCATTATTCCAAGTGGATATTCATTATGGACAATAACTTATCAAAAACACGACGATCAACTTACAAAGTAATCCGATAGTTTCATCAGAGTAAGTAAACTGTTTACTATTGTACCATAATAGTAATAATAATAATTGTCCCAAATTGTTTACAATGGGTTATCGCGAACTTTCAAAATATGGTTAAAACATCAAGAAAAAAGGGATTTGCTACAGATGCTTCGCAATGTAATGGATAATAGATCGGTTGTGAGTTCAAAATTTTTCTGCTCCGAAGTGAATAAAGGAACTGTTCGGTAGTTCGGTTTAAGAAGAGTAAAGAAAAATACAGGAACGTAGCGTCTGACCGGGTAGACTAGAGCCGCTTTCCAGCTGTGTGCTTCAAGCACGGTGCAGCACAGTGTTCTGTGTCTGAAACGCAAAAATTAGCAGCTCTCGAAGCGCTGGAACACAAACACGCGCTTGAAGCATTTGCGCGCGCAAAAGCTCGATTGCGTGCTCAAAAGCGTCAGCTGGGGCGAGTTCAGAAATAACACACAAGAGCCGCTTTCCAGTATGGGAGTGTGACGCCCGGAGCTACTCGGGGCGTTGAGCTCCCGAGCTGTACGTACGCGTCAACCTGTCAGCTGTCACATCCGTGGGTGGCTATTTATTTATTTATTTCTTGTTATATCTCAAGATTGAACATTTTAAAAAATATAGTTTTGATTCTCTTCCATTTTTGATAAATAAAAAAACAAACTGCACAAACAAACAAATAATTATTTTTAAAATTTGACATATTTGACACTAAGACAGGCGTCTCACGCCATTATACTGGAACGGTACAAATTTAGTGCGTGGCGCCCCTGAGGTGCTCTAGAGCGCGCCAATGTGCATGGAAAGCGGCTCGGGTGTGAGTGCGATTTTATGGGTGTGACTGAAATGACAATTCTTAGGCGACAACTTTCGTATGAATTTCTGAAAGCTTGGCGTGACCAATCGAGCATCTCCTCAAAAATTTCACCAAATCTATTAGGATTACTTTTTTTTTGTTGTTCATTTTTTTAATTTGAAGGAAAAACTTTAATTCTTATTTGTGTTTTGTTTATATTTGGTGGGATTATTGAGATTATGGGAGGAATGGTTGACAATGTTGAAATAAAGACACAATCACACCGCAGCCACACCAAAAAATTATGGTGTGACCGGTGCGACACCTGGAGCGCGCCCGAAGTACTTTCTGAACGGCACAGAGTGGGCGCACTCGGTGTGCCTATAGCATTTATGAACGGCTAGTGCGTCGCACCGGTGTCACACTCACACTGGACCGAGTTCAGAAATAACGCACAGGGTGCGAGTGAGATTTTATGGGTGTGCCTGAATTGACAATTGGCCATTGGGCCCATAGCACCGTCTATTATTTTTGAACAGCTAGGGCGTCGCACCGGTGTCACACTCACACTGGGTGCGTCATTCCTGGACTCGCCCCTGAGTGTGTCATTCCTGAACTCGCCCCTGGAAAGCGCCTTAGGTAGTGAAGTGACAACTGACAAATGTGAGAATTACAAGTAGATAGACCAATGAAGATAGACTCATTTTTTAATCTGTGATTGTTTTGAATTTATTTGATTGTGATTTTACTAGTTGCAGTCTGTAGTTGTGAAGTGTAAAGTTAAATAGTAAGTTATTGCATTATTAATATCATTATAAAAGTTAATTTTGAGTAGCAATTCCAATTTTAATCAGGGGGGTCGAGGTAGTAGTGGAAAAAATGGAGAAAAATTTTGGAGGGAAAATTTGTTATTTGTTTTTGGTAATTCTGTTTGGCGGTTTTGGATTGGCACCCTTATTCAATCTTTTATTTTTGGTTTGGTGTTCGTGAGGTGTGTGTCCTATTATTCCAATTAATAATATTATTGGTATCTCTACTCTAAGGGCCGGTTTATTCACTTTCTGATAAAACTGTCAGGTAATGCAGTCTGGCGGATAACAAGGCAATCTGCAATCTCATTGGTCGGCCAGTTATCCGCCGACCAATAGGATTAGCTATAGATCCCGAAAGTTATCTTGCAGATATTTAGGTTACCAGCAAGTTTATTTGAAGATTAATAAACCGGGCCTAAGTAAAATATTAGTTTTTTTTTTTCAAATAGTGCATAAAGTAACAGGCATGAATACCATTAAAACACAAAACAAAAAAATTGTTAATGATAGAAAGGAAGAATTTGGAACAAGGTAAGATATACCTAACTTCCGCAACAACTTCATAGTACCTACATAAATGTTGGTCCTGAACTAGAAAAGCAAATAGAGACTCCAGAGTGACCTTATCAATGTATTTTTTCCTTGGATGAAACTTCCAGTAACTTCATAAAAATCATACATCCACATCAGGTCTACATATAATCATACCCAAGTATAATATTTAAAATCGGTACTATACCACATCACTTTGAAAACCTCCCCAAGAACACTATTTACAAAAACGATTAAGTCAACAAAAAACAATTTTACCGACCTGTCAGCCTCATTAATTAGGTACTTAGCAAAAATACCTAATTGAAAGGACAGACTGGTAAATTTAAAGAAAAACACTATCTAATAAACAATATGGGTTTCACAGAGGGAATCAGTACTTAGGATACTTTTCAACATCTTATGTCAAAAATGACAAAGAGTATTGACAATAGTGGTCTTTATTGGCCTCACCAAGGCATAAACAACTTCTTAGTGTTTTGGAAGTAGAACATTACGGTTCAGGGGGATGGTCCTGTATGTCTTCCACAGTTACCTCTCAAATCGACACCTAAAAACAAAAGTATACAACACTATTAGTTCGCCACGAATAATAAAAGTGGTTGTTCCCAAGGAACCATACTGGGCCCAATATTGTTTCTATCCTACATAAACTCACTCTTCTTAAATATGCAACTGGAAGGGAAGGTAATTTCCTATGCAGGCGACACATTTAATTTTCAAGGGGGTGTCCTACATTACATTTACTCAGTAGTAAGTGAATAAAAATAGTCCAGACTTTGAAACAAATTTCATAAATAAAAATGAATCTATTGATTCCTATTATGAAACTAAATATTTGGGGATTGTAACCGACCAGCATCAATGGACGCATCATCAGCCATGTTTCATCAAAGGTCAGAAAACGTATGTAAAAATTTTACATAATCTGAGAAATTCTTAATGAAAAACTATCAATATTGATTTATAAATCAGTAATTAAATCATTATTACGTTGCAGTATTACAGCATGGGGTGCTGCTTACAAAATATTTTAATACCCCTGCAAGTTGTTAAGAATTATGTTTGGAAGGTTATTTTGAACAAAAATAAATTGTACCCTACCAAACACTTTTAAAACAAAAATAGTTTTGATATTCAACAACAACTACTGTATATTTTTTCACGTACAGAGTCTTTCCTCATATATTGACCCCCCAACACAAGGGTTATGTCTCGGGTTATGTGAAGAGATATCAAAAAATTGTGAATATAAAAGTATTGGGGTTTTCCCTAAAATTTTTGAATCCGATGCCATAAACTTTTTTGTTTTGTTTTTTTTTTAAATGTCAAATTTTGACAGATGGTCAATTTTTTCCTCGGTTTTTTCTTATGGAACACCCTATATATGACTTTATAGTTGAAAAGAGTCGATTTTTCTGATTTCAAATATATATTGTTTAACTAAGTTTATTTAAGCCGTTTTGGAAATATAGGGGTCTAAACTTCAAGAAAATAATACATCAGCTCTGTTCCAACCGAGCTTCCAACCGACATGAGAGCCATTCTAGAACGGTAATTTCCAGTTGCCCAATTTGTTTCAATAAGTTGAACGCTTATCCCTCGGTTTATCCTAATTGACAAATGAATTGAGCGATTTGAAATTACCGTTCTAAAATGGTTCTCATGTCGGTTGGAACAGAGCTGTTGTTTCAATGTATTACATATTTTCTTGAAGCTTAGTGCCCGATATTTCCAAAACAGCTTAATTAAAAATAGTTAAATCATATATAATTGAAATCAGAAAAATCGACTCTTTTCAACTATAAAGTCATATATAGGGTGTTCCATTGGGAAAAACTGACCATCTGTCAAAATTTTACATTTCTGAAAACACAAAAAAGTTTTTGATATCGGATTCGATAATTTCAGGTAAAATCCCAAAACTTTTGTATTAAGATTTTTTTACATTAATTTTTTCTACAGGGTGTTCCAAGAATAGCTGTACGGTTATCCACTTCATTTTTTTTAATGATAGCCCCTGTATATTATGACATTTCTGAATTCTGCGGAAAATTCTAGACATATTTCATTTACAATGTCATATACCTATCTTCAACTGTTTCAGAAATATTGACAGTTGAAAATTGACTTTTTTGTAACTTTGACAGGCTGTAAAACCTAAACATTCTTGTCTCAGTTTTTCATAAACTATCATCTGACACCAACTTTGAATTTAATTTATGATTAAAAGTTCTGGTTAAATTTAATCTCTGTTTAAATTCAAAGTTGGTCTCAGATAGCTTATGATAAGCTACAGATGAGAATGTAAAATCGGTTTTGCTGTAAAATTAACCGTTACAGTCTGTCAAAGCAAAAAAGTCAATATTTCCGAAACAATTGAACGTAGGTATATAATTGTATATAAAATATGTCTAGAATTTTCTGCAGAATCCAGAAATTTCATAATATACAGGAGCTACCATTTAAAAAAATTAAGTTGATAACCGTATAGCTGTTCTTCAAACACCCTGTATAAAAAAAAATAATGTAAAAAATCTTAAGTAAAAAATCTTAATCGACATAGTTTTGCCTTTTGTCCACATATTTTATCCGAAGGCCCTACCGAATTAGTTCCAGTTAAAGTCCCCACCCTGTATATAAAAATTACAACAGTTTCTAAAATCAATATATCTAGGGATGCCTATAAAATAACTCATACTGTCTACAAAGCCTTTGAACTTTCAACTACTACCCTAATCTCTAATGGATAAGGGTGCTGTTAGGCCAGAATTTTGTACCTATATAATTATTATATTCTATTATTATTAACTCACCATTAAACATGGCACAATATGCAGATATACTCGTAACATCTCTAGATTCCACAATAAAAAATTATTTGTTTATAATAATATTACTCTGAATCACACTCTGTTATCGTTATGTAAGTATATTGAATTGTTGAAAGAATTATTATTATTATTCTATATTGAATATTTAAGTTGTTATGATAATTATTATTGAGTTGCTGCGTGTACTTTTGATAATTTATTGACAATTGTTTTTGTTGATGTAGGATATCCATGAGCCATGGCATCCACATGCACCATGCCCATATGGAAGTCTGACAAAGAAAAACTTTTTCTATTTAATAAATTAATGGGAAGCAAGAATGTCACAGGAAAACTTCTTGAAGAGGTCACATCCCTGGACTATAAAAAGATTATGATGTATATCCAAAGGGATTTGCAAAAACAGAAATGTGACAAAGAGTTACCTTTGGGGGTGCTGACAGTGCTTGTAGAAAATAGTGTTCACAGTATTTATATGGATGTAATAAAAATGTTGAAGGAGAACCTAATAGAAGAGGAAGTTGCTAATAATATTATGCTGATTCTAAATAATCATGTGAAACAATTGTTCATCCATCAGAAGATTAAACACCTGACTACCCTTTACAGTGCTTGGCAATCGTATGATTTAGAGAGGGTAAGAATATATAAATTTTCTAAACTTTACTTGTCTTATGAGGTTTTTGTATTAACAGGGTTACTTGGTGATTAATGTATTTAATAATGGATCTTCTATGGGATTGAAACATAGAATTTCTATAATATAGGGTTTGAGCGTGGTCCCTATGTACCACAGAAAATCATATTTTTCTTATATTTGGGATGGTGAAGTTCAGGTCTTATGTTACCCTCATTTCTTTTCTATAACAATAACATTATGTATTTCTCTCCTATGCTATAATGAGTCTAAGCTATCAAAAGTGTATACTTACTTGCTACCCCACACCTGACCTGTTCAAAATTGTTACTTTTTTGGATGGAAACATTCATAATGACTCTTGTAATTGTCGCTGCTTGAACAGCTGGACACTGTGTTTACTAACCTGTTTAAGGCATTTGATAGGGTAGAAGGAATTTCCAAAAAAAAAAACATACTTATTTCGAAAGTCATAGGTACTTACTTGCTTAATAGGCCAAACTTCGTAAAGGTTAGCAAGTAATTTTCAAACCATTACCGCATCTGGAGTACCTCAGGGAAGTAATCTGCGGCCACTCTTCTTTATTAGGTATATCTATCAACTCACTTACTGAAGTAATTAAATGCTCTTCTGCTTTGTTGTATGCGGGCGATCTCAAGATTTTTGAGTCAGTCTCAGATCGCAAGGAACGGTTTTGTTACTGACTGGATGTTGTGACAGATTGTCGTCTTGACAACAAAGTATCTATCAATGTTGAAAAATGTTTTTCTATGTCTCACAATAGAAAGCTATCTTCTATATCAACTGCGCCACATTTCGTATGATGTTCCAAATTCTTTTAAAGCTTTAGTAGGGATCAAACTAAGTGAGAATGTTGCAGTTATAACTGCCTCCCTCATCCCAAAAACTTTTTTTTGTGTGTATTGCTGCATCATTTAATTTGTGGGGTTCGTGGAATTGTCAAATAATGACTTACCTTTTTGCATACCAAAAATCTCTCATTTCAGTAGCTAGATATTCACCTCCATTGTCACAGAATAAATTGAAAATCTGTAAATTGAAATGTGCCCCACTTTCAGCAACTGAATCTTGAAAGACACAAAATACATCTGACTTATGACTCATCAAATATGTTACACAATAGTGAGTAAATTCACACATAAATACTCATTTTTCAGTTTTCTACAGTTCTCAGTGATTCATTTAAAAGTGAGGATGAAAAACTATTATATAAAAAAAATTTGTTGACCCAAATTGTGCCCTATGTTTTCAATGTCAAGGATCACTCGGAAACATTAGAACTAGTTGCTATTGATTTAGCACTGACACTGGCTTCAATAAAATCCATCGTTACATTGACTTCTGAGGAATCTCGTGCATTCCTGAACAACATGAATAGGTAAAGTGATTCAATTTTTGCAGCAAATAAGTTCTAAGTGAATTTATATTTTTATAGGTATATAGTTATCACTCAAAAATTACGAGACTCATCTTTTGACAGCTGGCCAAAGTTATGGATGATCATGATAAAATTATTGGGTACAAGACTACACACGACGCCGAACTTATTGAAGTTAATGTTGAAAATTGTTGAAAAATCCTTTAAAGTAGAAGATATGAAGCAAAAAATTAGGGCGTTCGATTGTTGGAAAGTGTTAATCGAAAATTTTAGTTTGGATATGGTGTATTTCATTAATGACAAGCATGTTAATCTTGTTCTGACACCTTTAACTTCAAAATCAGGAAAGTCTGACGCTTTAACAATTAAGAGGTTTGAGGTTTTCAAGCATCTTTTGATGAGACTTCAATATGAGTCTCTGTTAGTGTTGAAGCAATTTCTAATATTTTGTTTTGGAGAAATTGGGGAAACATGTGATCCTAAGTACTGCTATGCCAAAGAAGTGCCTGAATTAAATATTGGATGCGCGAAGGTTCTACTAGCTATACTTGGTAAGAGTTATATTAGATTTTTGTGTGATATTTGGAGTCATTTTTAGAATAGATTGATCATATTTTAATACTTATTATAGGCCATTCCCACAAGGATGTTGGATACTGTTTAGAAACAAGTAATGAAATTCAATTGGAACCTGGGCTATTAGAATCAAAAAATATTACTCATTTGTACCCCATTTTAATAAATTCGGTTGTGGAATGCTGTAAACTTCTACAGCTAGCATTGAGAAAAATTACCAGGAATAGGGTAATATATTAGATATTTTTTATTTTATTTTATATCTAATTATTTTTTTTTTGTATAGGTTTCACGCTGTCTCTGGTACTCACTTATGAAAATATTACTCCAAGATGATGACAAATTAGGATATGTAGGAGAGCTCATTGGACAAATTTTAAATAACTTGATAATGGTTAGGCCAAAAATATTACTTAGCATTAAAATCTTTGCAAGTGTAAAATGCTTTTTAATTTTCAGCGTAATGACCGAAATTGCCGCAATTTATCTGCTGTAATATTCAAGGCCATAGTTAGCTACGATGATTTACCAAAAGTGACACAAATTGTTCTCAACCAAATTACTGTACTTGTCAAAGTGATATTCACTGTGCCTTTGAGCAAGAATAGGTAAGAACCTAATTTCATTTATTTGGCATAAGATTCTATGTATTACCCTAGTTTAATCATAGGTACTTACATATATCACTTTAAATCTTTATTATACTGGTCTGACAAGTGAACATCTCATGGGGCAATTTTAATGGAATAGAATGAAATGTCTAGAAAAAGTCTAAGGTTAAATAGAGATCGAAAACGATTTCTCTTGTTTCACCTCCAGCATTCCCAGGGCTACATGCTAGAGGTGGAACAGGCAAAATCGTTTTCGTTCTCTATTTAACCTCAGACTTTTTCTAGACATTTCATTCTATTAGTTTTTAAGATGCTGACATGCCAGACCTGTATATTGAAGGTATTTTTGAAATTTTAGTATCGTTGAGATTGGTCGTCTTGTCGAAATCATAAACAAACTAAATTGCGAGGGAGACAATCCAACATTTTTCAAAGAGATCTACAAGTGCTATAGCAAATTTAAAACTGTGCATGGCAATGCAGATTTTGTAGCTCGACTATGGGTGTTATTGACTGTGCATCTAAAAGATTATGCTGAAGGAGATTCCTTAAATTACTTGGTCTGGCCTGTTCTTTATTTAAATCATATCACATTCACAGTAAGTTTATGTTTAAATATTTTATCAAATAATTGTTTTATTATTACTTATGTACGTTCCCGTCACATTTGCTCAGGACATTTTGGTAACTACTACTCCTAGGTGACAACTGGTGGGTAAAAACTAAAAATAACCCCTATATATGTTATTGGAATTATTCACATTAGGGGAATTATTAATAAAAATACGGCGTCTGTGCAGAAATAAACAATGTGTCTGCTGAAACATTTTCTCAAGCATCTTCCTGCAATCTCTGGTTTTTGGCGGCTCTACAAAAATCCAAAGCTAATTATATCAAATATAATATAAATGTGTTACTAGTTATCTAGGGTCCTGCAATCAGAAGAATATCACAATGATTAATTTTCAGAGATTTTTTCATGATTTGTACTATTTGCTTGAATATGTGGAGAGTGTATCAAGGGGTTGCTAAAACTGTGAATTGTGATTCCAAAGTATTAATTTTAAATATTTTTTTTTTTACATATTTCAGGAAATCACCAGAATGATTTTCAAACAGTATGAACATAAAGTTTTGCCCTCTGTAGAAAAATCTGATCCACTACATTTAAAGTTATTTCAGTATTTTAAAACATGTAGTATGAACGATGTAGCTCAGCTTAACAGGATTTTGATGATAATCACATGGTTTAATCCTAAGATAACTAATAAGGAGATACGTAAGTATATCTCATTTATTAGAAAGAAATGAGATATAATAATGTGTTTTTTATTTCAGTTGATATCACTCTAGAGATCATACATTCAATACTTCTAACTACCAACACAGCGGAAAATACACAACGTGTTGAATCTTACATTAGAAAATTGTACGAATCATGTGTAAGGGTGGATCTAGATGCAATCACAATGCAGAAGCTTTACTCTTGCATTGAAGATCTTCTTAAATTTAAATATTTTGGAATTTTATCTGATGTTGAATCATTTTTAAGAAAGTCTCCAGACGATATCAAATTGGTGCATAACAATTTTCTAACTATAGATTTTTTGAAGAATCTAAGTTTTGACAAGGAAACCAATTTAGATATAGGAGAACAAATCTCTCGATTAATTGACCTGTTTCAAAATGCCAAAGGTACTAAAAAACGAAAGTTTGTGAAACGCGTCTTGCCTTCTGGAGGACGATCAGCGAGAATAGCTGCTCTGGTCACAGACATTTCAGCTAGTCATAGTAGAACACCTGACAAATCAGTTAATGATACTCTAGTACCAGAATGTGAACTGCCTTCTGGAGGACGATCAGCCAGAAGAGCTGCTTTGGTCACAGACATTTCAGCTAGTCATAGTAGAACACCTGACAAATCAGTTAATGATACTCTAGTACCAGAATGTGAGCTGCCTTCTAGAGGACGTTCAGCCAGAATAGCTGCTATGGTCACAGACATTTCAGCTAGTCGTAGTAGAACACCTGACAAATCAGTTAATGATACTCTAGTACCAGAATGTGAACTGCCTTCTGGAGGACAAGCAGCCACAATAGCTGCTTTGGTCACAGACATTTCAGCTAGTCATAGTAGAACACCTGACAAATCAGTTAATGATACTCTACTACCAGAATGTGAGCTGCCTTCTGGAGGACGATCAGCCAGAAGAGCTGCTCTGGTCACAGACATTTCAGCTAGTTGTAGTAGAACACCTGACAAATCAGTTAATGATAATCTAGTACCAGAATGTGAGCTGCCTTCTAAAGGACGATCAGCCAGAATAGCTGCTTTGGTCACAGGCATTTCAGCTAGTCATAGTAGAACACCTGACAAATCTGTTAATGATACTCTAGTACCAGAATGTGAACTGCCTTCTAGAAAACGATCACCCAGAATAGCTGCTATGGTCACAGACATTTCAGCTAGTCATAGTAGAACACCTGACAAATCAGTTAATGATACTCTAGTACCAGAATGCGAGCTGCTTTCTAAAGGACGATCAGCCAGAAGAGCTGCTCTGGTCACAGATATTTCAGCTAGTTGTAGTAGAACACCTGGCAAATCAATTAATGATAATCTAGTACTAGAATGTGAGCTGCCTTCTAAAGGACGATCAGCCAGAATAGCTGCTTTGGTCACAGACATTTCAGCTAGCGATAGTAGAACACCTGACAAATCAGTTAATGATACTCTGGTACCAGAATGTGAACTGCCTTCTAGAAAACGATCACCCAGAATAGCTGCTATGGTCACAGACATTTCAGCTAGTCATAGCAGAACACCTGACAAATCAGTTAATGATACTCTAGTACCAGAATGTGAGCTGCCTTCTAGAGGACGATCAGCCAGAATAGCTTCTTTGGTCACAGACATTTCAGCTAGTCGTATTAAAACACCTGACCAATCAGTTAATGATACTCTAGTACCAGAATGTGAATTGCCTTCTGTGGGACAATCAGCCACTATAGCTGCTTTGGTCACAGACATTTCAGCTAGTCGTAGTAGAACACCTGACAAATCAGTGAATGTTACTCTAGTACCAGAATGTGAACTTAAAATTACAAAAAATACTGATGAACATATTTCGATGAAACTCAAAGATGAAATAAAATCAGTGCCAAAGAGAAAGGTAGGGTCTACGCCAATGTCAACAAGTCCCAGGGTATTGCGGCGTTCTAGAAGAAAAAGCCGTCGACTTTCTTGCTGTTTAGAATTATTTACTTCTGACAAAAAATCTGCGGATTTGACTAATGTTGAACATAAAGATGATGATGATGATGAGATTATAGAGAGCTCTCAAGGTTTCGACAATAATATTTCCCGCAAATTAGCCTTATGCAAAGAATTGCATATTGAAGTAGATGATATAATGACTAATCGCAATGCAACACCCAAAAAGAGGGGAAGGCCACCAAAAAGCAGAAGCGTCAGCGCCAAAAGTATGACAGACGAGTTAATCGATATAATGGCAAATGGCAAAACAATGCACAAAGAGAGAGGGAGGCCACCAAAAAAAAGAAGAGCCAGCACCAAAAGTATGACGGACGAGGAAATCGTGGATATTTCCACCCAATCTGAGGCTGAGGATACACAAACTCAGGAAACTGCTTTGTCAGGTGCAGAGGTCACAACCGTACAATTTAAACTTGATTTACCTCAAAAGCCAATACTTACTGAATCAGAGGAGGTAATTTCCGAAATGGATACAGCCTCAATCCTATTAGATTCAAATCAATTGATGGATTCCACTGAGAAGCAAGCACTAACAGGCATTGAACTTTCAACAGATCAGGTATTTGGTAAGTAATTAATAAATATAAATAATTTAGATCAAGCTCTTCAACTCTAGTTAGTCAAACTGTGCATGCCTATGTTAACGATATTCTCTGCTTTTTTCTTTCCATTATCGTAAGTCGCATCTTAAAGACTTACGTAAGGCCATTTGGGCCACAATTTATGAAAAGATAACAGCTATTTCAACAAATAAGAAAAAATATATTATTGCTAACAGCCTCAACAAACTGTTGAGCAGGTGTCCAAATCGAAATCGTATGTTGTATTGTATGCCTTTTCAGCTACACCGACCTCTGAGCCTTCATCAACAAGGCTGCCGACTCCCGATGTAGATTTTGCGAAAAATGCCCCTCCAGGATCTCAAGAAAAGAGCAACGCTCCCGAAAATGCTAAGGAATCATTGCAGATGATTGATAAAGCAGTTGAGAAAGTTCCTTTGAAATCCCCAAGGAAAGATAAAGCCAGATCTAAAACTGTAGCTCAAAGAAGGATATTCAATCAAGGATCAAGTCGAATTAGGTAAGAAAATATAGGTTTAAATTCATTTTTCCTGAAATAACCAAATTACATACATCGTTTTTTATAGGCTTCTCCTCATGTATTTTAAATCAAGTATGTATAGTTATATAAATTTTTCAATTCTAGAAGATATGTCAGTTGTATCTTGCTCGATTAATGAGCTGAGGACTTGATTTGGGTTAGTTAGTCAAATATTTACCCAGCTGATAATACCAATAAGTAATTGAGGCATGTAATGTTTACACCTTATAAGGAATTTTAACATAGCACCTAAATGACTATGGAACTGTACGTGTACCATCAGTACTTTTTCAATTTACATTCATAATGAATATCAAGTTTCCAGGAATGCCAAATGAAGACAAAATTAATTTCGACAACATGTTATAATAAATTAAATTTACTTTGTCAGTCGGACCAGCACTCAATAATATAGTATTGAGCATTAAAATTTCGATCAACTGTTTTAGACAAATTACAAATTGCTTGTTTTTTTTAGTGGTAGAAAGTTTTTGTTTATATTTATTGGCTCTGCTGTTTCTTGAGAAATTTGCCAGCTTGGTGACAGAGGCCGAACCTTTGGACTGTAGGACGCTGTCCGCTCCCTTTGAATTTCCTCCAATAGGTTTCCACCCCGTTAGGCAGCTTATAGAAACATGGCATAATAATAATAACAAACTTTATTTCAAAATCATCATTACAAGTGCAACAAAGAAAGAAATAACGTCATACATACAAGTACATAGGTATAGGTACATTAAGTTAAAGGTCTCTATAAAATTCTCTTAAATTATAGAGTTCTAGGTCAACTAACAGTTTTTTGATTTCTCGTTTGAATATTTTTTGGGATTTTATTTTTTTCGTATTTTCTGGCAGAGCATTGAACAATTTTAGGCACATATAATGAGGACATTTTTCTGTTAATGTAAGCCTATGTAATGGGTAGCTAACATCCAAGGTTCGCGTGTTGTAGTTGCATTGTTGGCCAATATCAAAACTGTCTTTGTATTTAAAAAAGAACATTAGACATTCATAAATATAGATTCCATATAGGGTCATTATTCCTAGATTTTTAAATTTTGTCTTGCAACTCTCCAACTACCCACTGTTAGTGATTACTCAAAAAAGGTTGATAACTTTTTTGAACTACAAAAACGCTTTGCATTAGACTATCCCTTCCCCAAAAAAATAATACCATATTTTAAAACGGATTCAAAATTTGCAAAGTACAGCATTCTGAGTGTCCTCTCATTCAAAATATTGATATGGTGTGACCAATTTAAATTCTTGTCAATATTAATGCCTAAAAACTTTGCATTGTTTGATAGTTCCACTTTTTTATAATTCAGTTCTATAGTTTGTGGCTTTGCTGCTGTAGACTGTTTTGTTCTAAACATTACGATATTTGTTTTTTTCTTTATTTAATATTAATCTATTTTTATTGAACTATTCTGTAACTTGATCAAACAAATATTGTGACTGTGTTAGTAACTCTGGCATTTTTTTCATACCAATAAGTAGGTTTGTGTCATCTGCATATCTCACAATATGTTGATAGGGCTTGTTCATTAAAAGGGGTAGGTCATTCACAAAGATTATGAACAGAATTGGACCCAACATACTGCCCTGAGCTATGCCTATTTCATTATACAGGGTGGGCCACTGAAAACTTACAATGGCTATAATTTTTGAACCAAAAAAGATATCAAAAAAAATAAAAAATACGGTTTTTATGAAATCAAGGCGGAATACACATGACATATTTTTCAAACCACCCCGACCTACCCCTTAGGCGCCACCCCTACTCGCTTCAAAATCTTTAATGGCAACACCTCACTTTGGCACCTTTTGGAAAGCTCATGAAAAATGCTAAACGATGGTCATAAAAATGTTTAGGTGACATTGGAAAACTACCCGTCAAATGAAAAAAATTGGTAGAAATAAATTTTACAAAAAAAAGAATTTTTAGCATGAAATTAGAGATAGGAAATTGAAGCGACCCAGCTAAATTCAAATTACGTATTTTTCAAATCACTGCGACCCACCCCTAGGCGCCACCCCCACTCATTTCAAATTCTAAGATTGCGGTACCCTACTTGTGGCACCTGTCCAGCGCTTTAGGGTTTCCTTTTTTATATAACGGCTTGATAAGAGCTATCTTCAAATTATCAGGGAATATCCCAAAATTCAAATGAATTATTAATTATATATGACAGTATATTTCCTAATACCGGAGCAACCTGTTTTACAATACTGGTCGGGATCTCGTCTATTCCACTACTGTATTTATTTTTTAATTTGTTTGATATTTCAACGATTTCATTACGTAACACTGGCCTTAAAAAGATAGATTCAACATTTTCTTTTATCTCAGAGCTAAACGGGACATAGGTCAATTTTTTTAGGAGCTCTGGAATGACCGATAGTAGGTGCTTTATTATATTCGTTGGCAATACATTCAGAGTTTCCCTCGATTTTTATTTCTGAATCAGTTGATTCTTTTCCTGACAATTCCTTGCAGATGGCCCACATGCATTTCGTTTTATTATCTGAGTTTCTTACTTTCTTTTCAAATTCTTTAGTTCGTAATGATATTAGCATTTTATCATATATTTTTTTCTGTTCATTATATAAAATCTTATGGTGTTGGTTATTTCTAGAAAGCATTAATAAAATGTCTAGCCGACGTTTACATTCTAAGATCTCTGTATATCGGTATGTGCTTTTATTTGAGGCTTCTCTGTTTTTTTGCTCACTAATTTTAGAGGGAAACTTTGATTGAATAGGCCTTTTACAATATTCATAAAAAGATTCCACTGTTGATTCACATCCTCTCTTTCACTATTATATATATCTAACCAATTTTGTTCTTTTAGGCTACTTACAAAACTTTGGTTATTTTCTGTATATTAAAACACCTTCTGTATTTTGAAAAGGATTTCGATATTTTGTTTACTTCAAAGACAATCTTTTGTGCAGTGTGATCAGAAATATGATTTTCAAATACCAGGGCGTGCGTATATTCGAAATTTGTGAATATATTATCAATGCAGCTTGCACTTGATATTCGTGTTTTCCAAGACATTTAAATTTACATTAAAAGATTTCATAATGGAGAGTAATTCAGTTCTTATTCTATTCTTTTGCAAAAGTTCAATATTAAAATCACCTGCTATGACTAGTAACTTGCTTTTGGAGGTCTATATATGGAAATAAATATTGTCGTTATCTCACCAAAACTACATTCAAAGGCAGAACATTCAAAAAGGCCACTTACAGAAGTTCTATTAATTTTTGTTCTTTTGGTACCTTTTAGTCCCTTTCTGCAGTATATAACTGAGCCCCCATGTTTTCCCTCATTTTCGAAAAAACATTGACACTAAATTAAAGTCCTGAATTTTATGGTTCATTAGTTGTTCTTCTGATTTCCAATGTTCAGACACACATAGTATCTTGCACTCCGGATGATCCTTCAACATATAATTATTATGTTCCACTGAGTTTCCGATCAATTGCGCATTTTGATGAATTACACTTATGGAATTCTTGGCTTTCTGTGAGCTCTTAGCAACATCCAGTGCACTATTTGGTGAATAGGTACTTGCTTTACGTTTTATAAAAAAGAAAAGGACCCTGAGTAGTTGACATGGTTTCGATATTGTGCCAGTTTCTTTTGAAGAACTGGACAACCCGTATCTCTTGCCGAGTGAAGGCATTCTTCTTGTGGGTATTTAATTTTTTTACAGTTTGGACAATTCCATTGTGTTTCAGTACAATCTTTACCAGCGTGTTCCTTACCACATTTATGACAGCATATGTTCTCTTTGCAGTATTTAGCAATATGTCCAAAACCGAAGCACTTGAAACACATTGCAAGGTTTACATGTTCTTGGACAAATACCTTTACCAAATCAAAGTTCACTGTCTGCCTTTTTAAAAACCATTTTGTTATTTGTGCAGGGGCTTGTAAAATCCGATTTTCTTTGTCTGGATTTCTACATTTTTTTTTTGCAATAACTTTAATTTTATCACCTACTTTGCACTGTAATTCATTTTCTATTTCTATATTAAGTCTTATTAGCTCATCTATAAAGTCTTGGTCAACTTATTTTCATGTGATGTTGATGTATCATCATCGTTATTAGTGAGTAGTTTTTCGATGTCATTTTCAGAAGTATGTTTTCGAATTTTTTGTCTTCCCTGTAGTATACCAGGACTAGATTCTGATCTTGGTCTTTTTTGTCTTTCCACGTCTTCAGAATTCGGTTTCGGCGGTGTTCTAACGATTATCTTCTTGGGTGTGAAAATATCCATATATTTGTTTGTTGATTTCGGGTGAGTTGAAAAGTTGTTTATATTGATCCTCTATGTTTACTTTAGGGCTTGCCTTATCAAAATTTGTATGAATTGAATTATTTTTGTTTATATTAGGCATTCCCATAATTTCTTTTATTTGTGCTTCAGTGAAATCAGTTGTTCCCAATGAATGGCTTCTAAGTTTCCTTTCTTTGGTATTTAACGTTTCCTTTCGCGCACCAGTATTTTCGCCGTCACTTTCGTCACTCATATCGTTTTTGAATCAGAATTTTAGGTTTATTATTGCCACAGAAAATCGACTTCAATCGCGGAGCTATTTATACACGTCCGTACTAGGTTTTGCCAAGGCTTTTTATATACCTACCCTTGATGAAAACTTGCTCAGCTAACATGTTTTCTTGCTAACTTAACTGTCTGTTATATAATTGTTTCTAAACTCCCAACTTGACTTGAGAAAGGTGGAACAAAACATCCGCGAAAATATTGTATAGGCATGAAGATTCCTTCATGGAGGTTAAATTTTATTCACCTCATTAGAGTTAGGAAACTTTACTCAATTTAAAGACATCAGAAAGATTTGAAGCCTATACTCAGGCTGGGATTCTATTGTTTTCTAATTGGTAATAAATATATTTAATAATATGAAATTGACATTTTCCAGCTTGTCCGCTAGACCCGAACTCATTATGTCGCCATCGTCCAGGACACAAAAATTAATGTCGAACATCAAACTACTTCCGCTGTCGCCTGAAATGATTCCTGAAGTTGCTCAAGAGGAACAGGAAACGGTCTTGACATTTAATCGAGTAGTTCCAAGCCCACTGGCAGTTCCGAAGAGTAGCATTTTGAAGAGGAAATCTGCTCACTCCCCTGAAAAAAAATCATCTGTTGCTAAGGTAAAAATTACTGTTTTCTTTAGTGCCTGTGTGAAGTTACTAACCAGTTTCCAGCACCCAGAAATTTAAAAAAAATCGATTGAACCAATAAATATAACAAAAAAAGAGTATTTCCTATTTGTTGGTCCCCCAAATAGTAGGTCTGTTTGTTATCCTCCACTAGTGCACAATAATTTACACTTTTCTGCACTGAGGCGTTTGTTATGCGGTTAGTGCAAATAGTGTAAGGCGTTTGTTATCTTAGTGTAGGGTGCCCAATCATGCACTACCTACACCTGCTCAAGAGGAGGTGTAACAAGTGCAGAATGGGGAGGGGGCAATGTTGTTGTTTTGTTTTGTTTGTTGCTCCTAACCTGAAACCTTAAAATAAGATTTATTATATGGCGATTTCGACTGGATTGCACTTTCGCACCCAGTGCGAACTTTTTTTAAAAATTGACAGATAAACAATACTTTACACGTCAATTGCCAAAAAAAGTTCGCACTGGGTGCGAAAGTGCAATCCAGTCGAAATCGCCATTAGAAATTAAATCTTAAATGTTAGATGAAATATATTGATATGCTCTAAAAAATGAGTAGTGAAAGTACAAATACAAAAGTGCAATTGCATGAATTTATTTTGTCGTCAGAGCTGGAAGATAGGGAATCTGAGGAATCTTCTTCATCTTCCGACTTCCTCTATAATTTCCGACAATAAAACCTTGTAAATATGTTATCTTTTTCGTTAATATTGGACATTTTTTTCTGGGTTAGTTTCCATTTTCCACTTTGCTTGCTTGCTTGCTTGTTTTAATGGCGCTGCTACTGAGGCAATTTGCCAGCACGATTTCGTGGCGACCCTGATGTTGTCTGGCTCTAGGCCATATCATAGGTCCCCTATTTGTTTCACTCTTTTCTTCTATCTTCAATTTTTCTTAATGTGAAAGGCACATCCAGGATTTGCCTAGATCAATCGCTGAAACCGGATATAACCTTTTTCTGTCAAAACAAACAGCGTTTTCACGAGTCTCAGACTCTGGCCGCCATTTTGCCAACGTAACCACGCGTGAACCTTCTGTTTATCTAGGAATCTAAGCCGGCTTAGTCAAAAAGAGCAAACAAATCCACGGATGGCGACGAATCTCGGTTTTTACTCGCGGAGGTGAGCCAAAAATTTGGTCTCTACACGCCTCTAGTGCACCACCCGGTGAAGCTCTTTGAGCTCCTTAAACCAACCGCCCACACTCTGGCGAGGACAAAACGAGACTGATTTTCCACTTTAATTTACCCTAATAATAACTTTTTTTGAGGTTAGATATCCGCTTCTATCGCTTCACGAACTGCACTGTCTGCACTAACGCGTTTGGTAGTTTTCCTTTACCCTGGTGGCCATGAGCTACACCAGCAGCCTGCACTGACCTACCCTACACGGATATAACAAACACACCTAAGTGTTTCACCTCCATATTTAAAGACAAGTGGAGTAGATATAATTCAACACTGTGTGCTAGAAAACTGGTGCTAACTCCAAATTTATTTCTTAATTGTAGATTTGTTTCTAATTTTAGCGGAGGCGAGTCAACTTCAGCGACCCCTGCATAACAAAAAAAGTACTTATAAGAAGGGATCAACCAAAAATTTCCCGAAACCTTGAGACTGTCAAGGTAGATACTAGACTCAATGTTCAAGTGGGTCACGATGTGCCAATTTATCCACATTTAAAGGATTGTAATGAGAACTTGAGTTTAATAACCAAACATTTGACAGGAACACTGACTCTTGAGCAAGTACTCTGTATTCTATCCTCTAATAATATTCACACTATTGGTGATCTTGCCATGCAAAGTGAATTAAATATATCTAGAATGCAGTTTATAGTTCCTGATGTTTTCAACACACTTGATGATTATTATCGTAGAAATTTTGAGAGCGAGAAAGCTTTTAATGAGATGGTTGTCAATGAGCAAGCTAACGAATCACTAGCACTTGACGAGGATATTGGAATTGAAGAAGAAATCATTCGGGCTTTGAAGAGAGCTAAATCTAAGGTGATTTTTTGTTGTTGTTTATAATTTTTCTGTCTTTCTTTTCATATGCTTTTTGGTGACAGTGTTGGACTAATTTAAATGATATTTTTGCCTTTATTTGGGACACTGAGTATTAAATATAGTCAACATATTTTAATACAAAGAACATCTATATTGGATCTATGGTAGTTACTATATTATTTATTCTAACAGATTCAATTTATACTATGAAATCTGCTTGCCTACTATTTTGACAAGCATATTGAGAAATGAAACATAGCATCAAGTCACCATTGGGTTTCATCAACCACACATGGAAAACATGTTGAAACAGTTTCCAAGAACTCTATGTAACAGATTTAATATTAATTGCTTGCTCAGATCTTAAAAGAATATTATGTATAGTAATCAACATAGATTTTCTTTGATTTTTAGAACATTATATTCTCAATCTTAATTGCTTTATGATCAGTTAAACCAGAATTGGTCACCTGGCATTCCATCTAAAAAATTTGCAGATGCAGTGAAAATTAAATTTCTTGCCAAATAGTTTGCCTATCGGAAATCCAATAGCTCCAGCCCATCAAATATTATAATTATTATACTAAGCCTGTTTGCAATAATTTACTGATCATTAACGATTGTATATTGTGAAGAATGCACATAATACTGACCCATTTATAACCACTTTTTTTTAATATCAAGATAACTTTTATCAATTGCAACAATGCACCAATCGACTGTATCTTTTTCTTACCGTTTTCAATTAAATGTTGATGAGGTTTGAATTTACGACACTGTCCATAGTGTACACATAGAATTATACTAAATTGTATAACCTACCTCTTAAAACTACCCCTTTCTCATTGAAATTAATAGTTTTCTATTTTTGGGTCTATATTATGTTTCAATGCTAAAGTATTTATTTTTTCCAGGGCTTGTCCATTGAGCAACTGTTGAAGAACTGTGTTGAAAAATGTTGCCCTGAATCCAAAGCCTTAGTTCAGCAATTTGACATTTCTGCCATACCCTTGCCAAATATATCAAAAGAGAGAGGATTAAATTTGATCCAAACGATTATTGACTTGACTCAAAGTAGTATCAGCCTTGCAGCGGCTCAAGTGGACAAAGTCATACTTGAAAGAAAAGATGATGGAGATTATAGAGTGGTTATCAGCTAAATGGTTGGTAATCGCATCGAACAGTATAATATCAGTGTTTTAGCTAATTTGATACCTACTCTATGTATGGCACCAATAAATGAATCCAAAGAGCAACACATAAATTAGAAATTACATTTATTTCATGCGTTGTATCCAGATACTAAGTGGAGTGGATTAATAATGGGGATTAATAATCCTGAAATAAACACCCATGATTAGGGAAAAAAGCCGGATCGTAGTACTTAATCTATTCCACCAAAGGACCCCGCACACCTCTTATGGGTTTTTGGTTTTCTGTCAAACACAATGAAATTTTGATATGTGTTAGACCTTGACTTCCTGATAAAAAGTTCTCATGGGCCCGAACCAATCCTATGATTAGTTTTTGAGATACAGGTACTTTTATGTCCAAGAAATGTATACATTTTATATGTATTCACAATCTACCTGTCACCTAATAATAGGCCTGTTTCTGCAAAAATCACAAACTTGTCAGAGCGAATTTGATTGGTCGAAAACAGTCAGAAACAGTCAGAAAACTAGTTACAACCAATGAAATTCACTCTGACAGACCTAATAATAGGTGACAGGTAGATGTGAATGCATATAAAATGTGTAAATTTTTTGAACATTAAACCACCTGTATTTCGGAAACTAATCATAGTATCGGGTTGGGCCCATGAGAACTTTTTATCAGTAAGTCAATTAAAGTAAGTAATATCAAAATTTCATTGAGTTTGACAGAAAACCAAAAACCCATAAGATGTGTGCGGGGTCCTTTGTAGAGATTTGAAAAATATCAGCCTGACTGTGGATTCTTATTCTACTAATTTTGCTCCGTTATTGAAAAATTTTGCTCCAAAAACATTCCATAGTTACAGAGGTTTAAAAAAATATTGATCACCCCTCCTCCACACCAATAATTTTTTTCCCGATCTGACTATGGATTCATACGGCTATTTGCACCGCTACAACTTAAGGGATATTTAATCCAAGTGAAGCTTTGAATGGGACTCTTGTAGAAACAAAAGTCACATTCAAAGCTCCACTTAGATTAAATATCTCTTAAGTGATAGACGTGCAAATAGCCATTAGACTACTAATTTTACTCAATTTTGCAAACTTATCGAAAAATTTCGCTCCACAATCGTTCCGTATAGTTACAGAGGTTTAATCCTCAAATTGTTTAAACAATATTAATCAGATTTGGCCATCGGTATTTGCATCCACGAGCAAAGAGAGCAAATTTTGACGGATGTCACGTGATCACTTATCTTTTTTCACTTATCGAATCACGTGAAATCTGTCAAATTTTGCTCATTTTGCACGCAGAAGATGCAATTACCGAACCCAATTACAGTATAAGTAATACCTATAACATAAATGATTTCTTTTATGAGTAAATATATTGTTCACTAAATTTCTTTTTGTTCAGTCTTTCTGTTCTTTGTCTTTTTTTATTTGTAAGACTCTAGATTTTACTTCAAAATAGTTGTGGAGTGAAATATTTCAATTAGGGAGCAAAATGGAGCAAAATTAGTACCTAGTCTAAAAATCCACAGTCAGATAAGGAAAAAAAGTGGTAGAAGCAGGGCAAATTGAAATTTTTCAAACCTCTGTAATTACGGAACGGTTGTGGAGCAAAATTTCTCGATAACGGAGTAAAATGGAGCAAAATTAGTAGAATAAGAATCCACAGTCAGATAGGGAAAAAAAGTGGTGGCTGATTGATATTTTTTAAACCTCTGTAACTACGGAACGGTTTTGGAGCAAAATTTTTCAATAACAGAGAAAAATTAATGCTTTTGGATTTGCGCTTTTAACTAGGCTTAAAAAGGATTAGCACTAATCTTAATCCATTTAATAGTTGTGAAATAAATGAATATGGATTAATAATCCCTAATCCACTTAGTATCCGGATACAACGCGTGAAATAAACGTAATCAATGTAAATAATGGTAACAGAACGTTTGGTTACTAATTTACCAGCAAATGAGACTTTTGAATTTTTGCTCACTACGCTAAACAAATTATTGTAGTCATTGGAAAAATTTGCTTTGGTCGCAGATCAAATTCAATGTATTTTTTACTTTCTTTGTCATATATGAGCCTATTTATTCAGGCTCTCTAATTATATTTAGTGGTACGAATTATTTAAGGACTTATTTATAAGTTATATGTAGAAATTTTTTTGTGTTTGTATTTTATACATGTATTCGTTTTACTTTTATTTTTTGACTGATTATTGTATACATGTAGATATTTCAATAACATTGAATCGTTTTGTCCGTTTTTATTTTAAATTGGTATTTTTCTTTATTAGCTTTTTTAATAAGATGTGTAAGACAATAAAGCATAATAAATATTTTGATTCGATTCGATTCGATTCGGTTCGGTTTGGGTTTTGGTTTTGGTTTTGGTTTGATTTGATTTGATTTGATCTGATCTGATCTGATCTGATGTGATCTGATGTGATCTGATCTGATCTGATCTGATCTGATCTGATCTGATCTGATGTGATCTGATATGATCTGATGTGATGTGATCTGATGTGATCTGATGTGATCTGATGTGATCTGATGTGATCTGATGTGATCTGATTTGATGTGATTTGATCTGATTTGATTTGATTTGATTTGATTTGATTTGATTTGATTTGATTTGATTTGATTTGATTTGTCACGCGGAACACATTTCACTGCTTGTTGTTTGAAATTGAATAAGGTCAAATTATATTTATGGAAAATTTATTGTAGAACAAAAATCATTATTCTAAATTTAAAGTGATTGGTACATAAGCTATTTTAAGACTTTCTGCGCTAGAAAACTGTTTGCCCTCACCAAGTTTTTATAAGGCAAATAGGAAACGCATTTGGAGACATCGAAGTAGTACAAAAGAATTGCCGCCCAACGCGTGATCAAGTTAAAAACCAATAAACTGTCTTCCAATTCGCGATCTGCAATAGCATGGAAATAAAACTCAGAAACTCTTATAGTGATTCAACGTCATGGTATTTCTGAAGAAAGAAAAGCAGAGGAGTGAGTAGCAGGGTACCCTCGGGCTTAAGTTGGAGCTGTGCACCATTTTGGAAACAAGGTTCCGAAATTTAAATTTATTTATCTTCTAGAAATACATAAAAATCCGCGAACCAGCTTCAAATTTTTTTAATTATATTTAATATAAAACAAAATCGTCCTTCGCCCACAGATTTTTGTTTTGCCTTGAAGGTTTGTAGGATATTTTCAGTTTTATGGCAGTCGCCATATTTAGAATCGTTTCATATTTCACGAACATAAGGCGAGTTCGATTAATGCTCCGCAACCTGAAAGATGACATTGTTGACAAGAAGCCCATGTGATTTTTCATTTGAAAACTGATCACGTGGGTCTGTCATCTTTTTGATCGCCGTGGATTAATCGAACTGTACTTTTATCATATACGGCGCATTTTTTTTTTTTTTTTTTTTTTTTTTTTTTTTTACGGATATGCGCACTCGCAAGGAAATGCCCTATCAAGCTCGAGAAGCGGCAAGTGCGCGGAAATGTCGGTGTATGTTGGTCTTGAAACGGTTCAGGTTGTAACCTGCAGGGAAAACCGTCGCAGGGAGTTTATTCCACAGCGATGCTGTTCTCCAGAGATATGAATTCTGATATAATGAGGTTCTTGGTGCCTCTAGTTTGACAGTAAATTCATGGTTACCGTCTGTTTGACGGGTTCGCCTGGTAGGTGCTACTCTCGGTGGAATCATACGTGCCAACTCTTCAGAGCATTTTCCGTGATAGTACCTGTAGAAGAGAGATAAATCGCCCACAGATCTGCGATGTTCGAGACCATCCAAGTTACGAGTAAGTGCGGGGTCATTGATCAGCTTGATAGCTCGTTTTTGCACGGTATTCAAAAGCATTAAGGTATGTTTGGGTGCTGCACTCCATATATGTGAGCAGTACTCCATAGTTGGTCGAATCTGGGCTTTGTAGAGTGTCAGCAATTGGCTTGGTGTGTACAGATGTCTTGTACGAAATAGCACCCCCAGCTTTTGGGACGCCCTTTTAGCAATATCTGCCACGTGACTGCGCAAGACATGTTGGTCTCTGCAGTAACCCCCAAGATGTTCAACTGACTCTGCAATGTGACAGCACTTCCAGATAGCATGATGTTTGGCTCACCGGTGCTGGTCTTTTTTGAAAACAAAGCTGCTTGGGTTTTCTGCGCGTTGAACTGTACAAGGTTTTTGTTACCCCAGTCCTCTATTATCTCCAGGTCGTTATTTATTTGCGATATTTGAGTTAGTCTAAGATGATGGAATTCACGTGCGGAAAGACCTGTGGGTGGTATGAGTGAGGAGACTACATTACCATCGTCTGCAAAGCAATAAAGTGGATTTACTGTTTTATCTATGAGGTAATTTATGTAAATCAGGAAAAGAGTTGGCGAAAAGATTGCTCCCTGTGGCACACCAGCATTTATTTGGTAAGAGTTGGAGTTCTGGCCATCCAGTGCAACATAAATGGATCTGTCCTTTAGGTAACTTTCAAACCAAGTGCAAAGTTTCGGCGATAATCCCATTGATTTGAGCTTGTTGAGCAGATTTTCATGCCAAACTTTGTCGAATGCTTTAGATATATCTAAGGCAATTGTTCTTGTTTCACCCCGCAACTCAATCGCTTTTTGCCATAAGTGAGTGACGTATGTAAGTAAATATTTAACCTATATTTTCGAAATCCGTATTGCTTATCGTTGATAATTTTGTACTTTTCCAAGTACTTGGTTAGGTGATTGTTCACAACTCTTTCCATTACTTTTGATATCACCGGAAGTAGAGCAATTGGTCTATAGTTTAACGGATCCGTCTTTTTTCCTTTCTTTGGAATGGGTTGTACTGCGGCAAACTTCCATGATGATGGATATACTCCTTGCCTGTAAGACAAATTGAATAATTTTGCGAAAGTTGGGGTGAGTTCGTTGGCGCAATTTTTGAGTACTATTGCGGGAATGCCATCCGGACCCATTGCTTTGTTTGTATCCAGCTTTTTTAGGGATTTTCGTATTTCTCTGTGACAAAAGGGTACCTCTGGCATACTATGGGAAACCCTTTCAATGAACGGTGGAGTTTTTCCGTTTGGCACTGTTAGGTTGGAGTTGGAGGAAAAACATTTGGGCAAGCATATTGGCTTTTTCCTCTGATGTTGTGGCTAAGTGATTATTTTTATCTGTAAGTGGTGGTATGGATGACTTGGTGAAGTTAGATCCAACAGCTTTTGCAAGAGACCAAAAGGACCTAGAACTACTTGGACAATTCAGCAACCTGTTTTTTATTCTTTGATTGTATGTTTCTTTAGCGGAGTCAATAGTAATTTTGCAACTATTTCTGGCTTCTATAAATTCTGTGTGGTTTTGAGCGGTTTGTTGTCGTTTCCAAAGGTTATTTGCTCTGTGTTTTTTCTGTACAGCCGTTTGACACTGGCTGTTGAACCAAGGTTTTGCATTAGCTCTACGTTTAGTTGTATGTGGGATATATGCATCCATTCCAGATAAGATTACTTGTGTTATTTCATTACAGCAAATAGTGGGGTCAGCTGTTTTAAGGCAAACCTCTTGCCATGGAAAATCCAGGTAAAACTGTTTTAGGTCATTCCATTTTGCCGATTTATAGTGCCACATTTTACGAGGAAGTGGTTGTAGGCTTGGTGGGATGAGCATTTCGCACTTTGTTATTATAAGTTTATGATCGGACGAACCAAGTGGAGCATCTACTTGAATTGTGTACGAGTCAGGATTTGTGGTTAGGAACAAGTCTAAAAGCGCTGCAAATTCGCCCCTTTCTGAGATACGGGTTAGGTTCATCGACAAGCTGCGTTAGACCACAACTTATGGCAAAAGCTTCTGCTTCTCTGCCTTCGTTATCTGTTTTGTTGTGGTGTTTCAGCCAGGGTATATTGTGGACGTTGAAATCGCCTAAAAAGACAATTTCCGCCTGTGGATAGTTTGACTGTATACTATCACAGCTTTCGGATAATGTCGCGAAAAAGTTTTGGTACTCGGTGTTAGATGGCGGTCGGTAGAGGCAGCAAATAAACTTGGTCGATGACTTTGAGGTGAATTTTAGCCATATGATATCAGGGTTCGCTGGTTCTAGCTTCTCCTCTCGATGACATGAAAGGTCATTTTTAATGTACACACAGATCCCAAAAGTATGTATGTATATCCTGTGAAACACAATTTTTCTATTATCTTCCCACATCTGATCTGTTACTAAAATTCAATTTGTTTACATTAAAAACGCTTCTATTGGTCGCGTTCACCAGCATTGAACATGTTGAGTAATTAGTAAACGGCTTTGTTCCACCTAGTGGAATTCACAAGGTAGAACAGTTTTGATTGGCCTAGAGCTGATTTTCATCTGTTTTCAACAAAGCCGCTGACTAATCACTCGACATGTTGAATGCTGGTGAACGCGACCATGTTTTACTTGATTTTATTCGTTAAAAAATATTGACCACAATTTGTGCATTTTGTTTTCTCCATAATTCGATTATTCCGTTTATTTGGTTTAGAAGGCTTAAATGGGTAACAGCCAAAATCCATAGAATGTGGAAGTGAGTTGTGGGAGAAGTACCTTACGCACAAATGCACCGTAGGGATTTAATCCAGATTAGTTGCTAAGACCAGATTAGGACTTTTTTTGTATGCAAATTTTCGAACCAAGCGAAATTGAACTCCTAAGTCCATACGGTGCATACGGGTGTTAAACGCTTTAGCGAATTGTTAACTTGTCTAACGGCCAACGGTCGGGCTGCATTTTTCCGTTTCCTATTTGGTTACCGCTACATGGAGCGCTAATCCTTTAGGAATTGTAAAGTTATATCTAGCATCGCGTTTCCTATTAGGCTAGCGCACATGTCTATCGCTACATGGAGCGCTAATCATATAGGACTTGTTGAATTATATCTGACGTCGCGTTTCCTATTAGATCAGAGCACACCCTCTGCGATCGTCTCATTGGTCGTCTGCAGGCATCCATTGCATTGCAATCCATTTCATTATCGTAATTTTTTGAGGTTAATTGGTGGTTCAATAATTTTGGATATTTCTCGTTGTGTCTCATTTTATTTTTTCTCTTAATTCTGGCGTTATGGAAGAGATAATTAAAAAGTTTGATACTACGTGTAAATTTATAAGTTGTGTCAGTAAGAAGGAAAGTGAATATGAAGTAGTTTTGCGGACCAAAGTAGATTTTCCTGACTACGATGTACAGTGTATGCAGTGGATAGGCGAGTTTTCTGCTGCTACAAATACGCAATGGATTGTTTCACAAAAATATCCAAATTTGCAGAGGCTTTACTATAGAAAAGATTTTGTTTGTCATCACAACAAA